TTCCAAGTAGTTGGAAGCCTGTTGGTTAGCGCTACGGAGTTGTGTTGAAGCTCGGTGTCAGGACGTCGAATGTCTCCGCACTCTGTCAATTTTGTGCCTAGTAGTTGCACTTTCTGACTGTATAGTATCTACCGTACTTTTTTTTTTTTTTTTTTTTTTTTTATCACATTGCACATACCTACGGAAGAAGGGGGAGACAAAACGAAGACGAAACAAAAAAGACAACAATGGGTGTGTAGGCGCTACATGAGCTGCGCTGGTGAGATGCAGTGGACTCCCCCGACCAAGGGTCTCGGGATCGGCGTACACAGCAAGCACCATGGGGGAGGGGGGGCGAGAGGAATGGCGGAGAGAGAGAGAGAGAGAGAGAGAGAGAGAGAGAGAGAGAGAGAGAGAGAGAGAGAGAGAGAGAGAGAGAGAGGGAGAGAGGGAGAGGGAGAGGAAGAGAGAGAGAGAGAGAGAGAGAGAGAGAGAGAGAGAGAGAGAGAGAGAGAGAGAGAGAGAGAGAGAGAGAGAGAGAGAGAGAGAGAGAGAGAGAGAGAGAGGGAGAGAGTAAGAGAGAGAGAGAGTGAGAGAGAGAGAGAGAAAGAGAGAGAGAGAGAGAGAGAGAGAGAGAGAGAGAGAGAGTGAGAGAGAGAGAGTGAGAGAGAGAGAGAGAGAGAGAGAGAGAGAGAGAGAGAGAGAGAGAGAGAGAGAGAGAGAGAGAGAGAGAGACAGAGACAGAGAGAGACAGAGAGAGAGACAGAGAGAGACAGAGAGAGAGACAGAGAAAGAGAGACAGAGAAAGAGAGACAGAGAAAGAGAGAGAGAGAGAGAGAGACCGAGAGAGAGAGACCGAGAGAGAGAGACAGAGAGAGGGAGAGAGAGAGCGCACAAGAAAGAAGAGAGAGAGAGAGAAAGAGAGAGATGGGTAAGTGAGGGAAAGAGAGTGAAAGAGGTGGAGAGATATAAGTATAGAGAGAGAAAGAGTTCAGCGGCATATCGTCGCTATGACTATAATGCTACTTTGAGAAGAGGGTCAACATAATGATTTGCGTCCACTGATGGCAGGCCAGTGTGATAGATGTGCATGGCTAGCACCAGTCATGAGCAGAGCACCAGTCACTCTGTTGCAGGTGACGGTATGCAGCAGTCTTGAATCTCTGCAGGTGTTTCCGGGCTGGCTGCTTGTCCAAAATTGCCTGTGGCAGTCTATTCCACACTGGCACGATGCAGTATGGGAAAGAGCGCAGAAGGTAATCAGGAGCTCGTGGCGAGAGATTCAGCTCAAGCTGGTGGGGATGGTGCTGTGCTTGGGCTGCTCGAGTGCGGCGATGACGTGGCGGTATACTGGCGGGGGACACATGGCTGCAACTTGAGGCAGACCATGGCCATACATCAATTTGTACAGTAGGCAGAGAGCAGAGACCTTTCGCCGAACAAGGAGGCTGGGAAGAATCGTACCAGGGCCAATGACATTTAGGGCGCGGAGCTGGACAGCATCCAGCATGGCCAGGTGTGAGGGGGCTGATCCCATCCACGCAAGGGGGGCATATTCCAGCATTGGCCGGACGAATCCTTTGTAAACAGTCACCCTGCCCGCGTGGCTGAGGAGGGGTGCTGCCTTCCGCAGGAGGCCCAGCCGCTGCTTAGCACGCGATGCCACTCGCCGAAGGTGGAGTCTGTAGCTCAGTTTAGAATCAAACGTCACTCCGAGCACCTTCACAGATTCATCTGGTGGGAGAGGAGTTCCGCCAAATGACAGCTGGGGAGGCACTGTATACTTCCGCTGGTGCGACAGAGTGATAGTTTGCGATTTTGATGGCTCAAACGCAATCTTCCATCTCTTGCCCCAGGCATGAAGCTCATCTAGGCTGCGTTGTAGTGAGGCATTCGAGGCTTGGTCAAGGAGGGAGTACAAAGTTGTATCATCAGCAAAAGTGTTCAGGCTTGTGCCATGCGACAAGCAGCTTGAAATGTCGTTTACGTACACGAGGAACAATGTAGGTCCAAGGATACTACCTTGTGGGACGCCAGACTGGACAGGGTGCACCGATGAGCTCTGGCCATGAACAACAGCTTTAATGGTGCGACATTGCAGGTAGTGGGTAAGCCATGCGAGCAGTGAACCCCCTATCCCCAGCTGGCGGGCCTTGTAAAGTACGCCAGCATGAGACACTTTGTCAAAAGCTCCCGCTATGTCCACGGCAACTGCTTGCATAGCTCCACCTTCTGCCATGGCATTGGCCCACTCATACTGTAGGACAGTCAGGAGGTCTGCAGCTCCGGTGCCACGACGAAAACCGTATTGACGAGTATTCAGCAGACGGTGGCGTTCCAAGAAGTTGACAAGCTGGGAGTTGGCTATACTCTCCATTACTTTCGACCGGATGCTGAGGAGAGACACAGGTCGATAATTCGAAACAATTGACTTGGAGGACTTCTTGTGTATGGGGGACACATGGACTAGTTTCCAGGAAGCTGGCTGGACCCCTGCTCTGAAGCAGCAAGAGAGCAAGCGAGCAGCAGGCTCTGCCAGCTCCCTGTGGCATTCCTTGAAGACTCTAGCTGATATGCCATCGGGGCCAGTGGCCTTGTGCGGATTTAGCGCCGCTAGTTGACGACGGATATTGGCTGGACGAAAGTGGATGGCTGTGATCTGAGGTGCCGTGGCATCAAGTTGCATAGCAGGGAGCTGATCAGAGGCAGAGAAATCGTTGGAGCCGAGGCTGCACTTCATGGCAAAGTATTGGGCAAAGCACTCGGCTTTCTCCCTAGCAGTGGTGTGCTCGTGTCCAGATCTGTCGACCAGGACAGGTATATCGCTTTGGCGGCTAACACCAGCAGCTCGCTTAATAGCTGTCCACCATTGCTTGTCTTGCAAGGAGCCAGATGACAGCTTTCTAGAAGCTCGCTCTTTGCATTGCTGTTGGGCATGTTGCAGAACATGCACACAATGTGTAACGGATGCCAGGAAGGTTTCTTTCTGTTGCAAGCTATCGGGGTCTTGCCTCCAAACTCTCCAGGCTTGTTGCTTTAGGTGCACCGCTTGTTGGCAGGCAGGTGTCCACCAGACCGGGTCAGTGGCCATTACTTTAATGGTCTTGGAGGGAATAAACTGAGACATGGCATCACGCACAATTCCTGTGAGGGCTTCACAAGCAGCGTCAGGGTCATTTGATAGGACAGTTGGCCAGTTAATGCGGCTAAGATGTGCGCGCATCCTTCCCCAGTCTGCTCTAGCATACTGCCAGACGATTCTTAGGGCCGGTTGCTCCTTGCGGGGACGTACGGTCTTGAACTCCGTTAAGATAGTGACATGGTCTGAGCGTCCAAGCGGCGGACCAGTGGTGACAGATGCCGCACCTGGGAGGTCAGATATAACTAAGTCCAGTGTGTTGTTCTTGCGGGTTGGTTCGGAGACATGTTGGGTGAGGTAGTGCGAGGCGCACAAGTCCTCTAAGGCTTCCCCAGCAACAGTGGTCTTGGTGCTGCCCAGCCAAGCGGTGTTGTGGACATTGTGAAGTCACCCGTGATCAGAACATAGTCACCGAGGTGCCGGACAGCGAGCAAGGTCTCCTCAAGATACTCCATAAGACTGATATCTGACTCACTGGAGCTCCCAGACCGGTAGAGGGCGCAGAATACAATTTTATGATGATCACACGTTTCAATAAGAAGCCAGATGACTTCAAAGTCATGACATGGCACGGTGTCAAGGTGACGAAAGCACAGACCTGCTTTTAGCCATACAGCAACACCGCCTCCATGTGCAGTGCGGTCCTTGCGTACTGCGGGGCAGTATCCGGGTATTAGTGTTTCAGCTGGAGACATTTTCTCGGCAGTGAGTTTTGTCTCAGTTACTATGGCAATGTCTACAGTCTGCTGACGAAGGGCATGTTGTAGCTCACCGAACTTGGACTGGAGACCGAATGCATTGGTCAGAAAGATCGATAGACTTGACATATTTGTTTGTGGCTTAGTTGCTTCCTGGAAGAGGGTGTAGCGGTGGCGGAGGGGGAATCTGAGACGGGGCATCCATGTCTATCACTGGCTCCTGGTCGGACACGCTCGTGTGTTGATCGTCTGGAGATTGCTTGTCGGACAGGTGCTGGTACTTCTCAAAATTCCACTGGCGTGAGTATACAGGTCGCGGCCAGAATCCCTTGGAGTTGACCAGCGCAGCCGTTTTCGAGTTGAGTACGAGTCGTGCGGAGGATCTGGCTTCCTTCCGGAAGATCTTGCACTCGTGGATTTTGACTTGAGTTTCGGCTGAGCTTGCTCGGGTGGTGACGAACTGACTGAGTTTCTCCGTAGTCGTGTCACTCGGTAAGTTCCCCACAAACAGTACTTTCCGCTTTCCCGTGGGCTTTGTGCTGCAAACTAGCTCCCAAAGTCCACTGTCCTCGTTGTCGTCTTCAAAGCTGGGCAGCAGGTTTGAATTTGCCGATCTTTCATCACGATGCACCTCTGGTACACGTGCTCGAGCAAGGGGCTTTGGACTGTCGGACTGTGGGGTCGGTTCGTGAACCGAGCTCACAGAAAGTTGGTCTGTACGTGTACAGGGGGTCACGGATGCGCGGTCATCCCGTACATGAGCTTTTGAACTCTCCTTGCAGCTTGGTCGTTTTCTTGCCGTTGTTGGCCTTTGCCGTAATGGCGGACTCCTTCAATGATGTTACCTCTTGCCTTAGCTCAATGACAAGGTTTGAGAGATCGTCTAGTCTCCGCCGGAGGCGGGCTTCATTGTCCCTTGACTCACTAACGAACGCAGCCAAATTTTCTACCATACTGATCACGTTGTGGTGGATCCCGGGAATACTACTGAGTACCTCTACCTGCTCCGCGCTTGAGAGCTCGCCCATGGCGACAGATTGCTCCTTGTCGCAACCTGGCTACCAAGCTACAACTACACTACGCTACACTGAAACCACTGCTACCTGCCTGCCACCAGTCCGGCCTAATGCCGGCTGGGCTGTCCGAGACGATGTGAAAAAAACTGCTGGCAATGGGGCTGTTAAGTGATGACGTCACAGTTCCTTCGATACGCATAGCAACGATCCCACTGGGGACAAACAAAAGTAGCGTCGTCTCCACCGAACCAGTTGTCAGTGGCAACATATAGGAATCGTGTACATTTCTTCGTTTCTTCTTTGCTGTTTTCAGTGAGTGTTTTGTTTTCTCTTTGTCCTTGATCTCGACGGCGTTGTCGTGCTCATTACCTTACTGAGACGTCTCTTGTGACTGTAGCCAGTGTCATGGAGGATTTTATTGGCGTGACGAGGTAGATCGCCGAGATCGAGCGTGAAAAACGCTCTGCATTAGTAGCTCCTGTAGAATGTCTTCTGGGATGGCGTATCCATGGTCAACAAAGCCAAGGTGCAAGACAGCATAAGAGATCGTGTAAACGATGTGAACTCCAAAAGGTAAGCTCCTGAACAAGTGGAAAGATATGTGCATTTACAAACTCTCTCTTCATCCATCGATTGCCGCTATGCATTGTTTTTTGTCTTCACAGATAATCTGGACAAATAAATTATATTGTAACTGGAGAGTGCAATCGTGCTTGGGACCCATCCCAATGTCATCACATGGCTGTGGTGACTAGTGTATACCTGGGAGAGTTTTTCCTCAACTGAAACGGAGTGTAGATGGATGGATTATGAGAAATGCCGCGGAAGATGTGGAGTAAGTTGTGTCGAAGAAATGTGTAATAAAATAAAATTTACTTTACACTCAAACATACGCTGTACATGTAACATCATGATAATGATTCCATCTTCATTATCTCCGCAACAGGTACGCCATACGCACCGAATACATGGTGTGTGTGTGCACGTGCGCGCTTGCGTGCGCGCGTACATGCACACACTCTCATGCGTGGCCGAGTTGGCCGGATGAACAGACCACGCATTTGCACGAGGTGTCCGTCATGTCATTGGAGTGCTGTACTTTATGACTCAGGGGCGTAGGAGGGGTTTTGGAAGTGGTACGACCGAAGGTCGGTGCGGCGGAAGGCCATGTTGGAGAGGGTCCGCCCCCCCTCCCCCCCGGGAAAATTTTGTAAAAAGACACAAAATCCTGCGTTCTGGGAACTTCTGGCGCAGTGTGCAGTCGAGTCGAGTACAGTACTCAGTACGACTGCAGATGCATAACAGATCTACGAGTACGAGTCTAGAAAAAGGTCTGATGCGCATATGCAAATATCGATGGATCCTGATTTTTTATTACGGTTTTGCACGTTCCAGACGGACCACACTTTTCGAAAAGTGGTGCGGCCATGGTCGTACCAGTCGTAGCGGGTGCTACACCCCTGTGACTTTATTCCAAAATAGTATGTCGTGCCCCTGTCAAATGGAGTTTGTGTCTATGCTCAGCGGGTATCGGGCCATGACGCCACACTGCAGTCAGCGCTGGAATTAAAATAGCACTTCATGGATTATTTTAACTAACTTCCTTTGCGTTTACTTTGTTGAGCCCGTGGTTTCATTTCTGTGTTCTGTTATGATTGGCCTCTGGAAATAATCGGAGTGGATGTCATTTTTTGTCATATGTGTGTGCCTTGTGCAACAGGTTCAAGGCTAGATGCACTTCACATTCGGCGTGGGATCTCGGCGTCTCGGACCTGATAACGTCTTGGTTGGATGGGTGATCAAGGATGATACTACTCGGCACACCAATGTACATGTCAATGTAGTTTTTACTTTTTCAGAGCTGCACTATTTATGTCTTGATGCTTACTTCGGTGCTAGTGTCGTGTCTGTGTGCTGCTACAATGTCATTATCTGTATTGTATTCCGTCTGCTTATACATGTGTCTTTATGAAGTGTTTGCCATGGCGGCGATGTGTCTTGTCGATCAATAGTGTTGTGAAACCTATCACTATTCATGCTTTGCTGGCTACTCGCTCGCTCCGCGCCGTGCACGCTACTAGGTCTTGTAGTATATAGCTCGATGCTTTCCATCGATCGCTGGTTGTTGTTGTTCTTGTTGCTTCTCTGTTGTTTGAGCTTGGTCCTAGAGTGAAGCTTTGGTCTTCTTGTGTGGTGAGGGTGAGGAATGGGTATCTGGACTCCTGGTATATTTCCGTAAAGAACCTGGAATTGTAGAATCCTGAGAGTATGTCTGGCCCACTCCCCGGTCATGACATTAGCGTGTTTCCCCCGGATTATTTCTATCATCCTGCGTGTTCTTGGGCTGAGCGAGCACATGCACGAGTGTGCAGCTATAACCCTGTGTATCTTTGGTTACACTTTGTTCTGCAATGCATGTACCTTGTAACAGTCTGTGCTTGCACTGCTTTGTGTGGCCTGCGTATTTCAGGACTATTCAGTGCATCAGACCCAGGTTGGTTTGGTTGCCGGATGATCTCTTGTTGCGTCGCTCTGTGTTTTGTATTAATCAATTTTTGGGCTTCAGAATTGAGCTGGTGTGTGGTTCCCAATATGAAAAAAAAAATATTTCGAAAATCCTCGAGCGGATTGTACAAAACCAGTTACAAGGTCAGCTTTCCCGTGTTCATGCGCTGCCTGACACGCAGTTTGCGTACCGGCATGGCTACTCAACAGAAGATGCATTGGTTGTCCTGACGGACACGCTCCTGGAGGCCCGCGATCGACGCCAGGTATCGGGAGTGTGCTTTCTCGATCTCTCCAAGGCATTTGACAAAGTCATTCATGAGCGTCTCATTCAGGACCTGTTTGCTTTAGGAGTGACAGGCAGACCCCTTCGCTGGCTCATCAGCTACCTCAGTGAGCGGACACAGCGAGTTTGTTTCGGGGCCAGCAGCAGCACAATCACCTCTTGCAGCTGCGGTGTGCCCCAGGGATCGGTGCTCGGCCCGTTGCTCTTTAACGTGTACACAAGAGATGTTCCTCAAGTAGCCCAATCCGCAGCCACGATCCAGTTCGCCGATGACGTCGCAGTACATTGTAGCGCTGACACGACTCAGGCTGTTGCCAGTACGCTCTCCACCGCAGTCTCCTCCTTGGCTGCATGGCTGGAAGAGCGAGGACTGATTCTGAATGAGAAGAAGAGTCAAGTTCTCACAGTCTTTCCTGGTAGAGACGCTGGACCCCGGGTCACAGTCCTCTGTCGCAGCCAAGCTCTGCCGACAGTCACCAGCGCGAAGTACCTTGGCGTCATCATTGACGAGGGGCTGAACTTTCAGCAACACCTGAAAGCCATTACAGCAAAGGTGTCCCGCAAAGTAGGTGCCCTCTGGCGGACTCGGAGATGCTTGAGCCTGGCGGCCCGAGTCACCTACTTGAAGTCCGTGGTGATGCCGGATCTGACCTACGCATCAAGTTGTTTCTTGTTCTGTCTAACTGCCCAGCAAGCAACGGATCTCCAGACGCTGGAGAACAAAGCGGTTCGCGCAGTTTTTGGCGCTCGGCCATACGACTCTGCTCAACCTCTGCTCCAACGGGTGGAACTCTACCGAATCTCAGAGTTGCACAAGCAAAAGGCGCTATTGCTCACCTGGCGATGCATCCACGGCATTGCGGGGAACCGGCTCTGTGGACTGATTTCAAGGTCACCAGATCGGCGTACCCGCTTGCAGAAGGACATCGGAGCGCACATACCACCCGCCGCAAGCCGCGCTGGTCAGGCTAGGTTCTCTGTTGCCGCTCCCAAGCTGTGGAACGCACTACCCAGCGACATCCGCACCATCCCCCAACGCTGTGTGTTCAAGATGTCAGTCATCCCACATACGCTCGCTCCATGAAACGTATCACCCATTATTCCAGTCACTGTTGCTGTCGCATCCACTCGTATGTCGCATCCACTCGTAGTCCACGTCCACTGATGTCGACCGAGGTAGCTCTCTTGCTACTGTGTAATAGTGACATGTACCCAGCTAATGTCTCTGCTTCGTTCAGGGAATTCAGAATAGGAAGTCTGCTGTACCACCCGCTCTTTTCTTTTTACTTTTAAAAGCGATTATTTGTAACATGGAAATTTGTTCCTTGGCTCACCATCTGAGTTCTTAAAGCTATTATTCATTTTCTGCTGCCCCCGGTTATTTCTTTTATTAGTATTATTTTCTTTGCCTTCGCTTTCTTGTTATTGGGCAACTTGCCCGTTAGAATCTGCGAAGTAAAATAAACAACAACAACAACAACAACAAAACATCATGCTGGTGCTCTGTGTTTCGATTATCGACTGTCCAAGCAGTCACGATTCATTACCAGAACGGTCAATACTGTAGTCTCTTCACGTGTTTGTGTTTTCGCCGGGGGAATTAGCGGTGACGTTGCACATAGAACGGCAGTGTTGCATCACTAGACGACCCTGCCTCTGCATCTGACTTCATTTCCCCAGGATCTGGTGCAGATACACCAGACAGTCACTTCCTGTAAACACGCAAACAGCAAAAGAAGAGATCCCGCAAATCAGGAAAAACCATTGCGGAAAATATCGAGTAGATCATACACCATTCAATAATCTGGAGTAATTACAGTGAGACAAACACTTCAAACAGTGCTCTCTCTCTCTCTCTCTCTCTCCATCCTTCCAAAATACCCTGTAACAATTCCCTGGAATTATTTTATTTTATATCCTCAGGACATCATTCTGAACAACTTCTTCCATGGGTCTTCAATCACCACGGAGGGCGAGAATACAGCTAAGTCATGCAGTCTACGGGAGGTGCGGGCTGTCATGGATATAGAGGCTGATATTGTGCCAGCGTGAGGGCAGAGACAGAAAGAAGACACTGATTTCTTGAACAACTCACCTACATATAATCGAATCCACAGGGAGCGCTCGTACTTTGATCCATCAGGAGGCGAAGAATCTTCAAAGCACTCTCAAACACGGAGTTTTACAGTGGGCAGCCAATTTCACAGCCATTATGAAGGCCCTCGACGACTACAGGAGATTTGTAGAGGAAAGAACAAGGAGTAAAGAGCGACAACAATCGCTTGACGAAAAAGCAAAGAAAAACTGCTCTCTCTCTCCAGTCATTTAGATGCTGTTGCCCTTCACAACTGGTTCCATCCAGAGGACGCGACTTTTGTTTGTCGCCAGTGCTCTCCGTTGCTATGCGTATCGAAGGGGCCGTGACGTCACACTTAACAGCCCCATATATGTTGCCGCGTAACGCGTAACGCAGGGGGGTGCGGCGTAACGCGCGACCAGGCTAGTGCCACAAATTTTCGTTGCGTTCGTAACGCTTGTCCAGCGGGGTGCGGCGATCTTTTCATTGCAGTTTGCAAAAAATGATGCGGCAATAGCAAAAAAATTATGCGGCAATAGCAAAAAAGTGATGCGGCAATAGCAAAAAAAGGACTGCGGCAATACATGTATAGAAACCTGTGTAACGGCTCCTGTGCGACTTTGCATGTAACGCCCTGCGTGCGGTAAACATGTGCGAATGTAACGCTTCATGGCCTCACTGCGACCATATATTATATTGCCAGTACGGTAGTTACAGTGGTGGAGAGTTACTCCTTTAAAAAGGGGAAGTATACCCTGAAATCAAATTTTCACCAGTTGTAGTCTTCGGGGTGCTGAGTCGAATACTAGTAGTCTTGGTCTGAGGAAGCTGAGACGCTCCCTTCCTCCTTTATTCCCAATCGAACTCGCGCACTTCCACCGAAACTGGGTGGCTGCGCCCTACTACAGTCCATTCAGAAAAAAATGAACTTCTAGCTTTTGGCCATAAATGGGTCAAACGTTGAGTTTTTTTAGAATTTTTTTCTGCAATCCCATATGGAATCCTCTTCCAATTATGTTTCTGAAGTTTTTTTGTCCAAAAAGCAAGCCATAGCAAGAATAGGATTTCGGCCAGGTTTTGCCCCAAAAGCACTGAATTGGGAAAACCATCAAAATCCAGGCCGTTTGACCCCGCCTGCAACAGTGCATTCTGCGGTTCGAACCCCAGTTCAGGCACCCTTTTTGGACCCTTTTTCAAATTTCAAAGTTCGCAGCACTGCACTGTGTACGATGAAATCACGAAAAATCGCCAAATACGGGAGCTCGCCAGAGCCAGGACCCAACTTTTTATGAATGGACTGTAGATGGGGATTTGTATGGAAAAAGTCACTAAAAACGCCGTTTCGTTCTTATAAAAGCACGGGTGACCGCGATTGGTCCATATAATGTAGTCTTGTGGCCGCTGAGTCGACTGGTTTTGGTCCGAAAAGGCTGCGATGCAGCATTCGGCCCTTATTCCCAATCGAACACGGTTGAGTAAACGGTCACGTGCTCATTTACAGCCTGTTTGGGCCCGTTTATGTCACTCGACTTGAACCTTTGAACCAAGGAGTCGTAAAAGCCTCTTACGACTCCCTGCTTTGAACCTTTGAGTTGAATCTTGATGTGAAAATTGTACTCTGCAGGCACGTGACCGCTCACTCAACCGTGTTCGATTGGGAATAAGGGCCGAATGCTGCATCGCAGCCTTTTCGGACCAACACCAGTCGACTCAGCGGCCACAAGACTACAACATACATGTATGGACCAATCGCGGTCATCCGTGCTTTTATAAGAACGAAACGGCGTTTTTAGTGACTTTTCCATACAAATCCCTATCTAGTAGGGCGCAGTCACCCAGTTTCGGTGGAAGTGCGCGAGTTCGATTGGGAATAAAGGAGGAAGGGAGCGTCTCAGCGTCCTCGGACCAAGACCATTCAACTCAGCACCACGAAGACTACAACTGGTGAAAATTTGATTTTAGGGTATACTTCCCCTTTAACTCGTTTCCATAATTATGTCCTTTTCCTTTCTACTTTTATTATTGGCTCAATACCCGAAGTTGGTTGCTCCAACGAGGAGCACACGCTTCTTGCCGAACTTGACACTTGACTGACTCACGACTGCCATCCGGAGCACACCAGGAGCACGTCGCACCTTCCGCTCGGCAAACCTGAAAGAAAGCACCACTCCCTGCTCAATACACAGTGTTTCGGGGAATTCACCCCTCATCAGTTGAGCTTGAGTAGGCTGAGGAAGATTGTGCCTGAAAAGCACCACTTATATACTGCTCTCCAGGCCAAACCATCACCAGGGATACAAACTTACAGAGACGCTTTGTTTCCAGTGCGACAAACACCTCGTGAAGCCCCAGGTAGCAGCGTGAGTCAGAGTCGCTCATGGAGTTGTGCTAAACAGACGTTGAGAGCCAGTATAGCTATTCACAACGCTGTCACCTCCAACAACTAGTCGCGCGTCCGCGTGAGGGACAACAATACGAACTTAGAAGTTGCGACTTCGGCGGTAATGTCATGAAGTT